CCCCCGGGCCGGGCGCGTTCACTGCACCGGGCTCCCGCGCAAGCGAGCAGGGCTCCGGCCGGCCTCCCGGCGGCGGCGGCGGCGACGTGCCCGCTCCGGCAGCGCCCCTGCGCCCAGTGCCCCCGGGCTCCGCGCGCTTACTTCGGAGCTGCCCGCACGTGCTCCCCGGGGACCGAGCCCCGCTGCAGCCGCGCCGGCATCCCGCGGCCCCGGGCCCCCGGAGCGCCCCCGGCTCAGACGCGCGCGTCGCTGGAAGTTTCCGCGGAGTTCTTGCCAAGTAGGGGCAGGCAGGAGTCCCCCGCGATCCAAGGCTGGAGCGCGCGCGCGCTCACACACGCGCGCGCGCGCGCGCGCACCAGCCCTGGCCCTGCCGCGCGGGGAGTCCTCCCTGCTAGCCAAGCCCGAGGAACGCGTCAAATGCTTGGCGCTTCTCGGCGTCGGGAAAGAGGCTGAGAAGGAACACGAGGAAGGTGTAGAGAAAGTGAGGAGCCGTGGATGAGGAAGCGCTTCCCGCTCTCTGCCAAAACCAAACGCCGCAGCAGGTCCTCCCGGGGAGCCGAGTGGCGGAAGGTCCAGGGCAGAGAGGAGAAGGCCCTGCTCATCCGGTGCAGGTGGCCCTCAGGCCGCCCGGCCGCCCTGCCGCTGGCTCCCAGGCCGTCAAGAGGGCGATGAACCCATCTGGGGGAGCAAGGCAATTGGTCTCGACGGCCACGTGCCCTCGGGGTTGTCCGCAGCTGTTGGGGAGCACGAGGCTGAGGGGCCACTGTGTGCGTGGGCTCCTGCTCGGCCACTGTCGCAAGGGCATGCTGGACCCCTCGGCCGGACGCCCCCCTGCTTGCCTCACCCCTTCCAAGAGGCCAGCAGCCCAAGAAATCCAGGCTTCCCGTCTGGGGGCGCCGAACTGGTCTGGGACATGCCACAGCAGGGCCTCAGAGAAAAACGGCTGCTTGTAGGAAAGTCCATGCTAGGAACAGAGAAGGGGCGTTCTAGAGAAGGGTTGCCCTGCGTTGAATTGGTGCATAGGTGCCATCCACATGTGTGGCACTTGGCAGAGCAAGGCAGTGGGGCAGGTGCCCAGGGGAGTAGCCTCCTCTGGTTCCCAGTAGGGAACCTGCCCTGCATCTGAACGTGCCTCCCAGGGGGTCCCAATGCCATTGCTCCACAGAGGTGGCACGGCAGTTTGTGTTTTCCTCCTTAATGCATTTTCTAGGGGAAGAAAAAGGCAGGAGAGATGGAAGGCCACAACTTCTGGGTGCCCTGCAAAGGCTATGGCCGCAGCCTCGTGCCTGAGTCCACACCAGCCGCATCGCCAGAAGCCCAGGAGAGCCTCTGCTGCCAGTCCGTGTCAGCAGCTCTGGGCTAGAAGGACCGGCTCTGATTCACATAAGGCAGCTTCCTGAATCTCTGTGCTTGTAAAATTCATAAATCAGGCAGGTCAACAATAAAAGCCTCGTCTGGAAGGATACTCCAAATAATTTGTCAGTATCCAATTAATAATCATGCCATTTTAAAGTAACTTAAGGCGTCTGGGAAAGCATGGGGGATTTGAGCATCGGCTCATTTTCATTTTCAAGAGGAACAGGGTAAAGATGATATTTTGACATGTTATAAAAGATGTCATTTATAATCTGCCTTGAACCTGCAGGATAAGGCAGGATACAAATCAAAGACAAATGTGTCATGGGTCGTTTTATTACTTTCCTGCCCCTACCAGAGACTGGAATTAAGGGAAGATCAAACAACATTTGAGCATGGAATTGGATGGGTGGGGAAGGGGATGTTTTACAGCAGGCATTCAGTGGACTAATATTTTCATATCTGACTTTCCCCCATATTTGGTGGGTTGCAATTATTGTTTTAAATCACTCACATCATGGGAAAGGATTTGCCTCTTCTGCTTGAACTGAAAGAACAAAGATGGGAAACCTGCTACAAACATCAACTAGTTTGATGATAGCCACACGCCATACAATCGGCCCTCACAAATGTCAGTTTTAATTAAAGGTCCTAATGTATATGTGTCCATGCACACGCTGCATCTCCATATCAAATATATGTAATTCTATTAGCTTTCCCCATCAATTTAGTAAGAAGCTTCAGAGACAGAAGGTCCCAGTGCACAGAACACGTTTTCCATTCAGTCAGGGAATGAAAGGTGTGGATGAAGGGGCACACTCCAGGCCTCATGCATTTCATCCTCCGTTCTCCAGACTTTCTGCAAACCTCTGGGAAGTATCACACATACCCCAGTAGGTCAAGCCTAGAATGCAGAAGCACAGCTCGGCAGCTGCTGAGGTGCTCTGGGGAAGGCACCTCGACCTCTGCTGTGCCGGGGCTGCTTGCAGGTGGAGCTGGCTGGTGGGGCCCCCACACGCCTGCCGCAGCACGGGCAGGTTGCAAGAGACCCCCATGCCCTCTTCTGAATGAAATAGACTGGAAAAAGCTGCCGGGGCGCCCATGCCTTCAGGAAGAACGGAGCAGCCCGCCGTGCCCCTCAGGGACCCTGCACCTTTGAAAGCCCGTGCGGCCCAGCAGAAGGAGTCTGCGGGCAAGCAGGGCCGCCAGTGCTCTGAAGCACAGGGGGCAAGAGCACGACTGTGTCCTTGTGCCCAGAAGCAAGAGAGCCCCCATCCGTGCTCCGTGCACCGGCTTGCAGCCCGCTCGCCTCTTCGCTCAAGCGCATCTGTTTTGCTCCTCTTCACCTGCTTCAGTTCTGCCAGCTCCCATTCTGTGCTGTCCCTTTTTATAGCAGCAATCAGCAAAAGTGTTAATTAGCCCATTAATATAATTATCTGTTTTGAATATAATTAGGACTTCCAAAGCTCCCAAGTGAGGGAGTGAAACCGAGGAAAAGGAAGAAGATTCCTAGTTTAGAAGGCTGGAGAGTGGTAAGGATGGGCAGGCTGAATTTGGGGTGTTTGCTTTTTTCTACCATGCCCTGCAAGTTTTTCTCCTGTGCCCTCTAAAGACTCCCCTTGCTAGATTTTTAAAAGATCCATGAAGTCCAGCGAGATGCTGAGGTGAAGACTGCTCCCGTTTCTCCTCCGGTTCTGCTGCTCGAGGACAGACCAGTGCCAGGCTTGGGGGATTCCGTCTGCTTGTGGGCTCCAAAGCCTTGCAAAGGGCGCAGCGGTGTGCCAAAGCCATGGGGTAACTGTGCTGCTGGCCCCCCAAGGCATGGGCTGGGCAGGGCGAGCGGGACATGCCAAGTCAGCCATGGGGCTCCCTGCCTTTCCCAGGCCTGTCCTTGCAGCGCCTCCCCTGTTTTCTCCATCTTTACGGGAACGGAGAGGAAGGGGCTTGTCCAAGAGCACGGGAAGAGAGTGTGGCAGAGGGTTCTGACAGAAGGTGCCACCCAGCTCTCCACAAATGCCCAACAGGCATAGCTTGTCAGAAAAATTAGCCTCCCATCCACACCCACAAACGTTCACCCCCCTCTTTTGTGGGAGGCGTTGTAGAGGCGATCGTGTGTTCCAGCACTTGTGAATGTGGCTGAAGTCTCCCGGTGGCACAGCAGCCGTCTGGGCAGGGCTGCAGAGCAGGGGTCTCAGAGATCAGGCTGGCTATTTCTCAAAGGCTTAGTGAGAGCAGCCGGCTAGGTGGGACGGTGCCATGGCAGCTTCACACTGGCCCCTTGGCATGTGGCTTAACCCAGCAATGCACAGACACTGGATAATTCTGAGGATGTGTGAATCAGCAAAACCTGAGCTTGCTAAAGTTCTCTGAATTACAACTCGAGTATTCCAACTTGAGTCTGGATTGCAAGCTTTTTTCTTTTTCATATGAATACCCACGTGCACTTTCATTCATATTTCTTCACAGGTACCTCTGAATTGTGGGCTCCTTTGAAATGTACAAATTCTACTCCCACTGATTAAAACGTATTTGCAAAAGCACCTATTTTTCATGAGCATTTTTCAGATGGTTGCAACACTGTCCAACACACAAGCACATGTGTGTGAATCACCCTGCAGGTTCCGAAAAGTACATCCTTCAACTGCACTTTGCATCTGAGCCCACATTTGGTCTGGAAGGTGCAAATTGGGTAAATCCTGACTGAAAACAGACTGAGATGAATTTCACTGGTGTCGCTACTGCAGAGGATTGGGCAGCCCTGAGTAGCCCCTGCTTTTGTGTGCACGTGCATTTTTTAAACATAAAATTGCTCCTCGGCAGTAACAGGACATCAGAGCTGTTAGCAAGGCTGAGCAGCGGCACCCATCAAAGTCTACAACCCGTGCAAAGTTTGCAATCCTCCGAACTTTTGCTGGTGCTGGTTTCAAGCGGGCGCGCTCTGGCTGGTGAGGCCTCTCCCATGTGCTTCCCTGCCCTCCCTCCCAGCCTGCCGGACTCCCTCCACAGAGAGGTGCACCGGACCTGTCCGTGCATTATTTCCAGAAGGGCTGCGATTTCCTCGCCTAGTTAAACCTTTGGGCTCCGAGAGCTTCTTCACTTGCCGTATCCAATGGGTTCATGCTTTTGGCTTCTCAGTGCATTAATATTCTCAATTTTATTACATCTGTTTCTATGCTGCTCACCATTCCTGGCTGGGAATGCAGGTTGAAACATGGAAGGGAAGAAGAGGTGATGCGGGGACGGAGAAGTTGGCCGATCTGTCTAGGGGCACTTTAACAGCTGTTTAGCTTCATGGTTCTGCGGAAACTGGGGGAACCAGCTCCCTCCAGTGGGCAAGCAGAGGCTTGACCATACAGTGGGGTTAGGCAGAAGACGCTCTGCAGAAGCCGGGCGAGCGGCCTTAGGCACTGCTGCGGCGGGAAGAGAGCCACCCGCGCACGTGCCCTGCCCCCACAGGCATTTTGCCACAGGCAGACCAGAGCAAGGGAACGAGTGTGCAGGTCCCTGCACACCAGACCCCATGGCATCCGCCCACGACAAAGCCCAGCAGTGGCCAGGGTGATGGCAGCACCGACCAACGATCTCCTCGTCTGCTGCTGGGGAGGACTGGAAGTGGAGACGCAATCGGCAAAGAAGGAAGGCTTTGTCGAGAAGGTGCCAATGGCCTCCGCAAGCGAGTTCCTTTGTGTGCTCCATTCCGGCGTTATGTTTCTGCTGGTGCCTGTGCAGAGGACTGCGACCTTTGCGTAAGTACCCAGGGATGCTGAGTACTTTAGAGACGCTGGGGAACTTGGGATCCACATTTACCGTGGAGCCCAGCATCGCTGGGCACTTCCTAGGGTCC